CTAAACATCTCAACACAGCTTGTTCTCTCCCACTAGTGAAGGACACGTAGCCTTTCCTTCCATAAATCTTATAAAGCCTTTCTTAATACTATATTTCTCAGTACCAGACCCACCATCTTCTCACACTCATGCTGCCAAATAATACTATACAACTACAGGATTTATGTGGTGCTAAAAGAGCCTATAAGCAAGGTTATCAAACAAAAAGCTCTGCTCAGTTATTTTTTAGCATGCTTTTTTATTTTTTATTTTATTTTTTTTTTTATTTTTAGGGGAGCTAGTCAAAATGGTTACTATTTATTTCCAAATCTAAAGAATTTACTTATATATTGGGGGTGGTTTGCTGAATATGACTGAACATGTGTTTTGGGTAAAGGTTTGAGACAGAATTTTATGATCCTTAGTTCACTCATTCCATTCCTAACAGACATGGGCAATCTGTGAAAGCTTCCCCAGCCTGCTGGTTGAGAGGCAGTTTTAGTTATATTTAGCATCCTAGCTTTAGTTATGAAGTATTTTTCTGGAAAAAAAAAAAAAAAAGACTGGTGGAAATGCTATTTTTTCCAAGTGGGTTAGGGGTATTTAACAATAACATAATGAAAGACAAAATTCCTTCTAAGAGTGAAACAAAGTTTGAAATATGCTCAGTACAGGGTGAGTTAACATTTATTATGATGGGAAAATGACCTGTTACATCACTGTTATGCTCTTCTGGGTCAATTTTGCATGTTTGTAATCACAAATATGACACAGCAGAATTTATAAATAAGATTAACTGATTTTATAGCTTCACCTTGTCATTTCTCTACAGAAATATCATTTAGTAGAAATCAACTACAGATGGCCTAATTTCCAGACTTTGTAACAGGAGACTTTTCATTATTAGTCCTGCAACTTTGTTATTGAAATGACAATGTGTGTGCATGTGTATAAGTGCTTAGTTGCACTATATGTATGTATAGGTATGTGCACAGATGTGTAGAAAGTAAGAGTAACTATTAATTTGACTTTTGCTCACTGCCTAAAAATATTTCCTATTGATTTATTAGCTTTCTCAATCAAATAGAAGTTTCTCCTTCAGGGGTTTACCAATTTGCTTGACTGGCTTTTATTAGGGCCAGAACCATATTTATGTTCTGGGATCTGAACCTGTTTCACCAGTCAATAACTGTCCCATGCTGTGTCCTACATCATTGCTGAAGTTTCAATAATATCCACTTTAGACTTCTTCCTCTAAATCCTTGCTAGGCCTGAGATACTGCTATAAACAAAAGGCCATATTGCCAAACTACCATAAGCATTTTTAGTTCACCTTTTTTTCCTTTCCTTTCCTTTCCTTTCCTTTCCTTTCCTTTCCTTTCCTTTCCTTTCCTTTCCTTTCCTTTCCTTTCCTTTCCTTTCCTTTCCTTTCCTTTCCTTTCCTTTCCTTTCCTTTCCTTTCCTTTCCTTTCCTTTCCTTTCCTTTCCTTTCCTTTCCTTTCCTTTCCTTTCCTTTCCTTTCCTTTCCTTTCCTGTCCTGTCCTGTCCTGTCCTGTCCTGTCCTGTCCTGTCCTGTCCTGTCCTGTCCTTGTCTGAATTATTTGTAGTGCTTTCACATAGCTAAAATTTATGATTAAATACCACCAGAACCAAACAATATTTCCACCATCACACTTCATATCTAGTCCATTAGCAACTACCTAGCTTTTGCCTCAAAACATTTAGGGATATCTTTTTTGTCCAACTCACAATCAAATCAAATTTCAAAATTTTGCACTGAGGAAATAAACTGGCCTGCTCTGCTCTTAATTATGTAGGTACTTGTTTTTTTTTTTAAGCTTACATCTTCAAAATTTAAGAATAACTGAAGGCTAAATACATGTACAAGAGACTGATAACCAGATTTTACAGCAACGACAAATCCATGCAGACTATGTATTCTTTTGTCCTAAGACATTTCTTCTCATACCTAAAGCATACTTTTGATTTACCTCTTAAAGACATGTGCATCTGAAATGCAAGGACAATGTACTTTCTGTTTCACTGTCTTTGAGCACCTTGGTACATTACAATGACCAGACTATTTTCCATCTATAGTTTTGGAAGGAAGTTCCCAGCTGACCTAAAAGCTATATGTTTTATCTTTGGTGGTCTCCAAGAGCTTATTCAGGTAAAGTAGTGCAGCCTGAGTTACTTCATCCACAAAACTCCTTTTGAAGTCCTTCCAGCTGCCTCCTTTTGTTTTGAATGATTTGGCAGACATCAGGGAAAGAAAAAAAATATCTTGCCTAGTCAGTGAAACATGTCCACCTCTTCTTTGCTGCAAGAATGCTGTCCCTGTCACTCACATTAAAGAGAATTTGTAGCACTGTACTTCTTACAAATTTGCGTTGCTGAGATTTTCTGGGTGGTATTCAGCATTGCTGACTGGATCCATCAGGCACTAGGTCAAAGGAAAATCTGCTTAGCATTTTAGAACAAACTTGAATTTGATCCTCAAGGAACTGAGAAGGAACACTGTTCATTGAGGCAGTATTAAATTGTAACCTTAATTTTATCCTGAAAACTCTACTGTGGTTTAAGACTTACCTTTTGGATTGTATACTGAGATTATGTAAAACTTCTGTGGCTCAGTTTCTTCTATTGCATTCTAGCCAGCTACTATCTCTAAGATATTTGGCAACAGCCATACATAATGGCCTTGAATCATCCTTCAATTGCTAACCTGTTTCCACTCACCAATGGAGTATCAAGAAAGTGCCCCAAACTGAGCTGACAACATGACAAAAAAAAAGTTATGAGAAGTTTGCAAACAAGGAGCATTTGGAGACTCTTTCAATTTCCATATGCAAGCAGTGTAGGGAAACACCCCACATGTGTGGTTGGTGTGCTGATGAGATTCACAAAGGAGTGAGATCAGACTTGGGAAAAGGGCTTCTTGGCATCTCACTCCTTTACAAAGATTTGTAACAGTCTATTATTTTTGCCAGAGTAGTATATGTGTGGTCATCAGATAAGCTCTGTTCCTTAATGTCTCCAAAGACATGAACCAAAAATCAATGTGCTGTGGCTGGATGGAGATGTAAGGAGATGTACCTAAGCCAATAATGGGTATGGGAGGCCTGCTCTGTGACCCTGTGCACATGGTGGAGGCCCATGGTCTAAAAAATTGATGAACTGATGAATCAGTCAGCTGAGGGAGGCCAGTACACATCTCAGAGGAGTGCTTTGCTAGGAGGTGGGTTTTAGGGTGCTAAAATTTCCTGCTTTTCAAATTGCACACAAACATCCTTGTTGTCCATCAAGTTCATATGAACTTTTATACCTTTTTTGCCCTGAACTTAATATTAACAGACTTCCTGTAAAATATATGAAAATTTGATACATATCTGAACGGACATAAGAACAGAATTTTTCATACCATCTAGTTCAGACTAAGGCTAGTTTCAGATAGATCTACTGAGAACTAGCCCTGTGTCCTTTCTCCAAGAATGGATCACTGCTCCAGCATTTATTTACTGACTGCATTCTCTGCTATGTTGGTAGAGGTAGGATAGGAGAAGCAGCAATGACTCTACAGGCCTTGTAGGAAATCTTCAGGGTACAAAGCAACAAAATGTCTATGTTGCCTATCAAACACCAACGGCAGATAAAATTCATCCCCTGCGATCAGGTTTATTCTGATAATATCTGCCCAAAGGTGGGTTATGCATGGGAATGGAGATTTGAACCCAGGGTAGAGTTTGACAGATACAGAAGATGAAAAGTAAGAAATAAATGTGTGAACAAACAACAAAATATGGACACAGATTTGTGAGTAAATATTTGAGAAAGCTGTGAATCTTTATTCCTGATTTACAAGCAAGAACCCAGGAACAAAATTTAATTCTAGTTTAAATATACAGTTCCTTAGTTCTGTAGAACTAATAGAAGTGACTGATAAGCCTGGGATGTCTTTATTTAGCAAGGAGAGAAATAGGAGAGGTTCAGTTAGAGATTCAAAGTAATGAACAGCTAAATGGAGGCAGATAGCGCCAAATTAATTCCCATTCACATTGAATAAGTCATTCTTTGAAAGCAAATAAAAGAACAAAAACAATAATAAATACAAGTCAAATTGTCAGACAGTGGAGCTTTCACTACAGAGTACCAGTGTGGTCAACAGCTTGTGAAAATTCAAAAGAGAAGTATGGATTAAAGACTTCCTGATTTAAATACAAAATAATAATAATAACAACAACAACAACAAACCTACAAAACAATAGCAAAACAAAACAAATAAAAAACCAAGCCTAGTACTAATTCACTAGTAAATGAAACTTCTGCTTGAAAACAGATACCAAACTTTAGCCTTATGTCTACAGAAAGAAAATTTTCCTAAAACTATGTTATTTGGTAGCTATCTATCTACCACAATGTCTTTTATTACAGCATTTGATATCAGCTACATTCAGAAGCAGTCTTGCTTGGTGGACATGTATAACCTTGTTTATATTATGCATCCCAAGAAAATGGATTAAGTTTTGAAATCTAGAAGATTTTTTATTATTATTATTTTTCTTTCTGGAAACTAGTCATCCCTTACTTGCCCTTTGCTGGGAAAGGGGTGGAGAGTTAAACAATACAGGAACAATTTTCCTAATGGCTGTTCTGGCTAGCTGTCCTTTCACCCCAATAAGTCTGCTATCTTTTAAATGTACTTGCCTTCTTTTCAGCCTTTGTATTGCTCACAGGTAACTTCTTTGCTCCTAGCTCACTGCTTCTGGATTCTAGCTCCTTCCTAACCACAGCTCAAAAGAACCATTTCCGGTATGCCTCAGTCTAAAGTACTAGCATTGTACTAAATATTGTTTGATCTGTATTTTATCTCATATTTTAAAAGCAAAATGTTTCCTGCTCTTTTACTCATTTACCCAGTCAGCTGCAGCAAGCAACTTTTCTTTCAAGCTCAGAATGTCAACTGATTGCCAAATTAAACAAATTAAATGTCTCACTAATAAGTTGGGGGCACTGCTTTTAACTTTTTTTTTTTTTTTTTAATCTAAAGAAGACATTCAAACAATCTCGGGATACCTATGAAACACCATCATTAAGAGAAGGTACCATTTCCAAGTTTTCCTCTCAGGTGATAACAGATGGAGGGAGAGAAAAAGGAGTATCAGCTCCTTACTATTTATGGGGATTTTTGTGTATGCATAAAATTCTCTGAACTGCATAGAGTCATACAAGCACAGATGAATAAAATTACCCATAAGAAACTGTTCACAACTTCAAATGAAATGCAAACTTTGATTTCTTATTTATTTGCACTCCGTGACTCATCATATAATAATAACGACCTTTCTTTAATTTCATGAACACTGAGAATTGCTTTCACTGTCTGAAGAATAGTGACAGCACCATAGGAAATTTTTGGTAAAGCTAGCATTTGAAAGATGAAAAATCATTTTCAAATGGAACAGAAAATATAGAAATAATTACGTTTTGTACTAATATTTATCCAGCTGATCACTAGAAGCAACACCGGGTAGAATGAAAGAAAGCAAGGTTCAGAGAGTGTTCCAGTCATGTAACAAAATCTTATATATTTATGAAGCTATATAATGTCCTGTTTCTCATACGTAGTCACTTAATAAATCTTTGTCTTTAACAGCATAATATCAGTTCATATAGCTCCATTCTGTTTGATATCAGTGAGATTGCAATAAAAGAGTATCAGCAATCTAACCTCTGCAAGACTTTCTGATTGACCTAGAAAAAGTACAGAAAGTTGAACAGTTTACCATTCAGAGAGGAAGTTATTCTCATGAAGATTATTTCTTTCTCTTTTCAGGCAATGCAGTAGTAAACATGCATAATTTGCAAAAGGTAAACAGTAAAAGGTTTATAAAAGCATACTTTAAGCTTCCCTGAAATATCTTCTGCATTATTCCATGAAAAAAAAAGACATATCTGCTTCACGCTGGAATTGCTAGCTGGCCACAGAACAATGCTTGGATGGTTATGAAAACACTTTTTTCCCCCAGGAAGAAAAGTTAATTAACATATCTACTGCTCATAAAGAAGTGAATAAACATATCATTTAAAAAAACAAAAACAAACAAACAAACAAAAAACCTGGTTTCATCTATTAGTTATGATTGGAAAGAAAAGGAAAGGAAAACCTAAAACATTATCTGGAGGTACAAATCCAAGTTTAAAGTACAAAACATTTTCAAATGTTCTAAAGCAATAAAAAATGATAAACAAAACAAACAAAAATCACCACAAAGAAAAGCATATGCAAAAAAAAATTAGTAAATGTTGCAGTTATCAAGACCCAACTCTCCAAAGCAACTTGTGAAATGCCTCCGGTAAAAGGTAGCTATAAAAATCACTCCATCTTCTTCACTGTTCATGAAAGTGACTGTTATCTAGTAGGACTGTATCTTCAAATAACTTTGTATCTACTTCAAAAAATGTGAAAAAGGCCAAGTATTGCAAATCACTTAAGATAGTACTAAGAAACTGGAATCCAGTTTTTGTTTTGGACAGTATATACTACCTGTTTTGGAGAACACATGGAGAAGCAGAAAGGAGGAAAATCCTGTTAACAATTAAACTATATACTTTAACTGCCAATCCTATTAACAATAAAACTATATACTTTATCACATCTCAATATCTGACATATCACCGGGGAATTCTACAGAAACAACAGATTCACCAATAACACTTCTCTCCTCTTTCTGACATAAAATACTGAGAATCATTTATCACTTTAGGAAGCATAGATGTCTCCAAATTTCCTGTAAGATGTGAAGTTTGAACAAAAAACAGATATGATTAGCTCACCAAAAGGCAGTTAAACAAAGAAACAAAAAGAGGACTGTGAAGTCCTACGCTTTAGGCTGCAGATGAATGTCTCCTTGTCAGGTTCAAGGGTGTTAGAATTCAACACTACAGGGATTCAAGAGTTTTATGGGTTTCTTAGGTTGTATCTCTACAGAAATTGAAGATGATAAAAATGACTAGCTGATTACAATGTGCTGGTGTACTATCAGTCATACTTAAGTTGGATTGTGAAAGTAATGCAAGGAATCAAAAAAATAGTAATTAGCAGCTACTTTGTAAATCCATAGAAAGTACCAGTTTTTATAAAACTTAATCTGGTTGATAAATATTGAGCACATTGCTAAAAATGAAATACTGGGAAGATGGAAAGTAATGGACTGCAACAAGGAAGGGAAAGTTAAAGACACCAACCTGTGTTTTTCTCCAATATAATTTTTGTTTGTTTGTTTGTTTGTTTTTGTTTTTTGATCATTTGTGGTCCAGGAGTATCTGGAAATCTCAGATGGGTTCAACACTTCACTCACGTTCCCTGTATTTCTGCTATGCTTATCACATTTTATACACTTCTTTCTTTTTAAGTGTGGTGTTAGACTTGATACAATGCTAAGCTCTCTAGGAAATGTTTAAGTGTTCAAGGTTAGTGATGGATGACTTTAGGAGGAGACGCAAATAGCTCACTTCTCCAGAGTAACTGGTGAACACTAATTTAATCTGCACTGAATGTCTGAACCATCCCCATTGTAAATAGCTCTATTGGATGGTAAAACATAGAAAATGACTGGAACTGCAGTGTAAGCCTTTTATATATAAGAAATTACTCATTACTTCAAATAGCTACTCACTTTTTTTTTTTTCTGTAAATATCAACAACTTTTATTTTTGTGCCAAGACATTTTTCTTAAGTTTTAGTAGAGGAAATAGGTTCATTTGAAATTGCCCCTGTGCATAAAGACTCTAACAATTTGCAAAGTACCTAGATGTTTAAAGCCAAAATTTAAATGGTTAGAGATATGTTTCCCTAGGAATAACTAAAATTCTTGCTTGAATTGCAATTATTTTTATTGCCTACAAATTTCTATTACTGTTGCTTTTTCTTGCAATAGCCAACATACTTTGGGTGAAAAGTGTCAAATTAACGGGCTTAGAGATTTAAATTTTTCATTATCCTAGAATGGGGACAATGCAGTACAAGTCTTCACATGTGGCCTCATCAATGTGTTTTAAACCTGATCCAAAGATCAGGTTTAATCCAAACTGCCTCCATAAGATTTTAGAACTGAGTATATCTCTGGTAAGCAAGTTTGCCCTAGAAAACACATGGACATTTTAGGACTTTGGCAAAAGGCTATATACACAGTCCTTTAGTAAGAATAGCCAGAACAATAACCAAAATAATAACCAATAAAATAGCAATATAAAAATAGTAAGAATGATCTTTTCCAGTTAATCCGTAAGTGTTTCTGTTAACTGTTAGTGACTCTAAAGTCAATGACTCAGAAAGTTCTAATTCACGGTATTGGACTCTACACTCTGGAATTTCCTCATCCTAGCAATATATCAAAGTCAGTCTTGCAATCTTAAGATACAATGTGATTATACTGACTGTTTTCTTGAAGAATATAGGGCACCATCTTGAAACCAGTTTTTACCCCAGAGTAAGAGAAAACTTCTGAGACAAATCAGTGTATCAGGAGCATACCATTAGATAAATCATATTTCTGTGGAAACTTGGGAATCCTTTAGTAGTAACATTTTGTTATCATGAAGTAACCTTACATGTAACAAATTAATTGTTAATTAATTAACAATTCTACAGTATTTACTTCTACAGTAAATAGTATATAGTACTTTTAGCTGTAAGTAGTCTACCATAGTTTTAAATGACAATTAGCTAACAAACAAAATGTGTTAGATCTTTTATTGATATCTGTGGCAACTTAAATGTTATTGGACCCATGTAACACATTCATAAATCATAGTCTGATCCTGAAGCAGTGAACTCAATGGATGAACATCCTTTTGTTTAAGTGAGGCTTAGAAAAAAAAAATAAAAAAAATACATTTTAACATAGTACCATTCAAAAAGCTAGAAATATAGGTATACTAATCTTAGGAGGTACAAAAATGTGTGTCTAGTAGATCATGGTGCATTGTGCTTTGGGGACATTGCGGGCAGGGAAGACAGGACTGAAGGCAGTACACATGTGCCTACAAATTAAAACCAAGAATATTGTGAGAAGATGATAGTGAGACATAGGGAGTTGAACAATTATTGAACTAAATACAGTAGAGAGGAATTACACCTGAAAGATCCTGATACCCTCAGACACCTTTCTCCCTTATCTGGCTTCAGTGTTGCTCCTGGAGGCTTTCAGAATTACATTGCATTTGCCTGGATTTGCCTTCAGGACGTTCTGAGTCAACTGTCCTGCAAACATATTTAATTAAGACAAAAAAGAGTTTCTTAACCCCATCTCCTATCTGAAATTAACTTCTGTGTGACACAGTTTCTTTTTCATTAGGTGAAGGCATTTTTTGAGCATCCCGCCCAATTATCTCGACACTTATAATGTGACTGTTTTGTTGACTGTAAATAAATGTGTATATGCTATGCAAACATGTCTTTTTCCTAGCAGACATGATGGTGGTGCCAATTTGCACTTCCTCTGCATATTTGTGAGCCCAAGCATAGTATTAACTCTATAGAACATGACTTCTGAACTGTCTTCAGAAAGCATAAATGAGAGCAATGAATGTGATTCATTACTGGGTCTTAAGGTAAAAATTTTTTAAAAGGTAATAAACACCTTTGTTTTGTCTAACTCAAGTGACCCCTATATAAAGATTGCTGCAACTGAGCATATTGTCCTGGGAACAACAGACACGTATCACATATCTTAAGTTTTGCTGCCTTCAATGTTTTTAAAAGTAAAAAAAAAATAAAAAAAATCTTCTCTTGGATAAACTAAATTCTCATGTCAAGATAATTTAAGAAAATACACTATTTGCTTATTTTTCTTACTAGATCTTTCTGTTCTGCTTATATAACAAAACCAGTTCCAATAAAATGCCTTGTCTTTCCATGCCTGAAAACTAGCCAGTGTGAAGGGCAGTGTACGTAATCTAGTAGGAATGAAAGAAGACAAAGACACTCATAATCCCAAAAAGCCTATTTCATCTCTCTATTCTTCATGGTAAGGATCGATCAGATGCAGCTGGAACAGCCCCTTGAAGCTTGTGCCAAGTTGCTGAACAAGGCAGTCTGTTGGTTAGCAAACTCCCTTCTGGAAATAAAAAGTAAATAAATAGATAAAAACCTGTTACCTCTTAACCTTTGGAGTGGAGCCCATTAAAAGCAACAATAATCATACACTTTTTTTGCACTTCCCCTGGCAATGCAAACGTAGGTGTCACCTCATGTGAAGACTTACCCATTATGCTTAGACTCAACATTTTCATTTAAGACTTTTTGCCAGAACAGGACAGTCAGCAAATACTAAAATAAAGGTAAATATAAGCAAAACTAAGAAAAACAGTGAAGCTGAAATATATCATTTAGACATGAGGTCTCCTTGACAGAAGCAATAAGTACTATACACAAAGGAAAGAAGGACAGTGTACCGTGTTTTCCTACTACAAATGACAGGTTTTTTTTTGTTTGTTTTTTAATAACTCTCCCATGCCTGCATGAAATTTGGTCAGACATAGTGCCTTCACAGCTAAACCATCACAAAGTGAATTACAAAAAGAACAGAATGAAATGTGGTTCCTGTAATGCCTGAAAACAACAGAGTAATTATGGTATGACCTCATTAGCAGCTTATGCATTACAACTTGTTTTGGTAAAAGAGAGAATGTTGGAAAAGCCACTCGATTTCACCCATAATATTTCAGCAAATATGCAGAATGGATTCCTAACTTATTCCTTGATGGACAACCATTAAGGATAAGCAGAAGAGATTATAACTAAAATCCTTATGCCAAAAACGGATCTTCCAATACAGTGTTAGTCTGTGTAGATAATCACAGAAGAAATCTTCACTTACAAAAGGTACAGTAAATCTTTTAATTTTTATTTTTTTTTTTTGAATAAGCACTTCAGGAATAAGGATTCTATTATGATTTATCTAAGTCCTGAATGCAATCACTAATACATTACTACATCATCAGATAAATAATATATATTCTCATGGTTCTGCCCTGCTGACTCTATCTACATTCAGTTAGTTGGATGAACCATTAGCTAAGCCATTTACCAGGAAGGGAGATTCATCATCTAGTACTAAATCGTATGCAACAGTCTATTAGATGAGAAGGCAATAGCTACACATTGGAAAACACTACAGCAGCAATTGAAAGTGAGCATGGTCTCAATCCTAATGAAGTAAAACTGACAGCAGGGTAAGACAGATAGTTTGGCACTACATTCCATCATATTTCTCTGAAATGATGAAAATGTAACGAGGAGCTAGTAAAGTTGTAGGTCCAGGTCTTATTGACATACTGTGCCCACTTCCTCCAGATATTCAGCAGTTTTCCACTTTAATCATTTGAACAGTTCCACTAAGACCAGCTGCTTTAACATCTGTTAAAGAAAAAATAGATGTAACACAATGTCCAAGTAAGAGGACAATAACATTGACTCTCTGAGGAGCTTTGGGGATATCGTTGTTCATATCATTGTTCTTATCTAAAGGAGTAACTTTTTTTTGTTTTCCATGAACTGGGGAAAGTAACAGTGTGAGGAGTTTAACAAATTTTTTATGATGGGATTTTGTACCCTTTCTTCTGTATGTAGACTGCAACAGCAATCCATTTTAAGACAGGTAGTGATCACCAAAAGGCCCAGAAGCTTCTGTGGAGGCAGAATTTGGTGGCTCTCTTGTTAAGCTGCCTCTTCACTCATTAATCATTTCAATGTCTTTTAAAAGCTTGCTTATAGTTTCTAATTTTATGTCTTAAAAAGCTAGTTTTGATCTTTACAGCTGCACAGGCCAAAGAGTATTGGAAGGAAGAGTGATGTAGGAGTGTGATGTTTATACTAGTGTAAAGAATTAATTTCTCTGGGTTCGCATTTCTGCTGGGGCAGTGTCATCAATAAGTAATTGCTGAGGACTGCTTACTTTGTGATTAACATTGTTTATTTAATAATAATAATAATAATAATAATAATAATAATAATAATAATAATAATAATAATAATAATAATAATAATAATAATAATAATAATAATAATAAACAAAGAAAAAAAAAAAGTAAAGGATAACCGAAGCTTGGAAAGAAAGTTTTTTTATTTACCACAGTATGAAAATGTCATGGTTTCACCCCCATGGACAGCTAAACTCCACTACAACCACTCTCTCACTCCCCCTCCTCAAAGGAAGAGGGGGAGAAAATACAATGGGCAAAACAGACACACCATAGGGAGATTAATATAATTTATTACCTATTGCTAACAGATTAGAGTAGTGAGAAACTAAAAGCAAACTAAAAACATCTTCCCCCCCCACACCTTCTTTCAGCTCTTCCCCCCCGTGCGGCACAGGGGAATGGGGAATGGGGGCTGTGGTCAATCTCTGCAGCTCCTTCACGGTCACTCTCTGCCCCTGCTCCAGGTGGGGTCCCTTCCATGGGGTTCCGTCTTTCCCGAACTGAGCCTGCAGGGGCTGCCCACAGGCAGCAGCTCTTCAAGAACTGCTCCCACACGGCTCCGTACCACAGGGTCCATCTCCCAGGAGCAAACTGCTCAAGCACAGGATCCCCACGGGTGGCAGCTCCCCCCAGATCCCCTGCATGGGCTCCTCTCCACGGGCTGCAGCTCTGGCCCAGGGCCTGCTCCTGCGGGGGCTCCTCCACAGGCTGCAGCATGATCTGCTCCATGTGGGACCCATGGGCTGCAGGGGGACAGCCTGCTCCACCAGGGGCCTCTCCACAGGCCACAGCAGGGGAACTGCTGCTGCCTGCCTGGAGCACCTCCTGCCCTCCTGCTGCACTGACCTATGGGGCTGCAGGGCTGGTTCTCTCCCCTCTCTCCCAGCTACTTTTAGCACAACAGTTTTTTTTTTTTTTTTTTTTTTCCTTTCTTAAATCTGCTGTCCCAGAGGTGCAAAAACAGCATAGCTCCCTGGCTCGGCTCTGGGCAGTGGCATGTCCTTTTTAGAGCCAGCTGGAGGTGGCTCTGACCTAACTTGGGTCAACTTCTGGACATTTATTTCAGAGGCCACACCTGCAGTCCTTCCATATCTCCCTCCCTCCTCCACCTTCCCCCTCCCCCCCCCACCCGCCACATAAAATCAATACAGATAATAATTAAATAATCAAGTATGTTATTAAATAATCAAGTATCTATCTATCTATCTAGATACCTTTTTTTTTTTTTTTTTTTTTTTTTCCTCCAGTAAGTGTTCCAGGTCTGTTGTTGAGTATGATTGGAAACACATATTTTGGCTCAGTCAATTCACAGAAAATATGGTCCTCTGTGGAGGACCATACTGATCTGAAATTAGACTACTTGTTGAATTATCAATTACTTTTTTTTTGGAATCTTGCTTATGGTCTAAATCTTTAAATCCAGAACAGCTATAGACATATCTTAATATATATATATATACATATATTTGATTAGTGAGTTAGGATACAATTTTAAAAGATGTTATTTTTATAAGTTAACTAAGAAAATAAAAGCTACAGAGTAATAAAATACAATCAAACTCACCAGAATATCAAAAACCTTCCACCATGATCAGAGGGAGTAACTGTGCCCATTCAGCTCTTCTCTGAGAAGAAATCTGAGTAAATAAATGGCCTTTGTAACATGATCAAAAGTCAACAACATTGAAATTGTCTCTCAAACCCACCAATGTTTGTGCCTGGGAGGGCATCGTTAGGGCAATTACTTGATTAAACAGCCAGTCCATTTTGTTTATTTGTTACACTCCTCAAAGGAGCCCAGTTCACTGTCATGGGAGCACTTGTGTATCCAGTAAATAGAAGCAGATTAATTACATGCCTTAAAATCACAAGACAGAATACGCTATCCCTTTGTCTTCTGCTAACCCACGAACAGGAGCAGAGCTGGAGAAAGGCATGATATGTCTTGTGTACCTGGTTGAAAGCCTTGCACAACTCTGAAGCAACATTGCTCTGTAGCTTTCTTTCCTTGCACAGTTGTGGACACATTTGCACAATATGAACATTATAAGACAGGTATAGAGTTTGTTTGTGACCAAACATTGAGCCAAACATTGCTATTTCTCACTACTTTGGGAGGTCACAGGAAGAAGTGTTTCTTGTATCTCAGTATAACTACCATTCTTCCTGTTACTTGCACACACACTTTTTCTCTTCTGGCTTCATGTAAATTTGTCTTACAAGAGGATTTTCTCTTGTTTCAGATTATTTTATCCATCTATTTATCCCTTATCATTTACACCAAAGCTCTGGCAGTCAGTACCCAACTGGAGTACTTTTCTCTAGGGTGGGGGTTGGAGGTATTTTTCACAATCGTGTTACCAGACTGTTTGGCTATGTCAATACCAGCCTTAAAGACGAGTCTCTGAGAAGCCAGAGAAGCATGGCATATTTCCAGTTCTGCTTGCCTCCAGTCTACACAGACAACTCCTAGGCAGCAGGTATAATAATTGCAGAAATGCTTGCAGGCAGCCTACAGATAACTGTGTGCAGGTGTGCCTGAGAGCATCCAAACTGGCTAACAGCATGTCAACAATATACTGAACCATTAACTATGCTTAAGAGATGGTCTCTCATTTTGCTATAGAAGCAACACCTGGAGCCATGTTTCCATGTTTACTATCTGGGTATCTCTCAAAACACAAGGTAAAAATACCAGCTGTGGTTTAGGGATTTTTTTCTGTCATGTTTCCCTTATGTCTCCTCTTCTTGTCTTCCCACTCTCTTAACACCTAGAATATCAGCCAGAAAAAATGTCTCTGTCTAACTACTTTTCAGTCCTGAGCAAACTTGCAATATGCATATATTACTGGGCTATAACATGGCTTGAGACTTTGATAGGAGTATCACTTCTTATATATAACTGAAATGAAGGTTGCTCTCTGATCTTGGTATTATTTCATCTATAGCAATACTAATACTACCGTTATATATACACATATATGAATAACCTGTATCTCTAACCTGAAGTTCTAGAACAATGAAGTCTTTACTACTTCATTTTTCCTGGATCTTTCATTTAAGTGATCTGTATCAAAATTGTTCACAGACAGTGGTAATAAAATATCAGTATTTATCCAAATAATGTATTCCAAAGTCTAAACTGTATGTCAATACTATACACTCATGAACCACTGAAATATGTGGAAGAAAAGAACACTTCTGAAATAATTTTATACATGACTGTGATATATTTGTGCTTCACTGTTCATTCTCCAAGTTACATTTTCAGAGATATAGAAGAATTAATACATAATTCCTGTCTTCAACATAGAAGCAAGAAGCTCTACTTGGAGTGAGAAAAGAGTAGATCTACGTGAGTCACAGTTTTAATTATACCTGTTATGATGTTGGAATGATGCCATATGACATATGTCACACAGTGTCACAGAGTTCTTGGATCATGCTAAGAAAATCTGGTGCTTCTGCCTTATTTTTCATATGTGTAGTAAGAGGTATGTGAATAGTAGAGCAGATGTGATCCACCTGTGTTTTGGTTGTGGAAGTTCACACAGGGCTCATGCTGAAGACTGCAGTGTTTAGACTTCCTGCTCAATCTAACTGTAAGATAACTGTAAGATAAGAAAGAAGGAAGGAAGCAGAAATGATACAGGAGTACGTCTTCATCTAGATAAATTCTCCTGACACCAGTGTGCTGCCTACATTAAGGAGTCTGGAATTTTATTTTTGGTTAAACATAACATATACATATGTAACCCATGTATGAAGATCTCGACAAGAGATACCTGTCTGATAATAAAAGCTACTAGATAGAAAAAGAGTTGATTGCCAATGCCAGAGTTCCAGAGTTCACATTAGAACTGAAATGATCATGTGTCATGTGTCATGTGTCATTGTTTTCTGGCTTTTAAAAGAAGAAGAAAAAAAATGCACACTGTCAGTAAAATCTGCTAACCCACCTCTTCCTTTCTGGTACAATCATCAGACTGTAAGTCTTTGACTATTGCTGTTCAATATTTTAGCATATCTAATCAAACAGATCTCTTGGATGATGAGACGTTATTTAGTCCAAGGACTTGCCTAACTTTTGTGGACTCTTATTTGCTCGGCAGGAGCTTGTAATCATGCCAGAACACCTTCAAGATATTTTGGAGCTGGTTCTTAGATTGTACAACTCTTCCAAAGTTCACATATCATATCATGCCCTAGTTCTCCTAGAGTGATGTAAAAGGCACTTAAAATGTGCAAGGCAGCAGAAAAGGAGTTAACTCGTGCACCTAATTTCTATGGTATTCTCTGCTCTTTCCAGGTCATGTTTGCATTGCAGCATTACAAACATTCCTGGCTGCCTTGTCTTCTTCCCATTCTGAACACTGGCATTAATGACTGTCCTCCCATCCCTTGACGTCTTCATGGAAATATTTCATGTCTTTTCTCCTAAAAAATAAAGTTTTTAAACAGAAAACAAACAAACAAACAAACAAACAAACAAACAAATAAATAAATAACCTCCTTGTGCTAATGGTCTTTGACATTTGCAAACATGGCAGTAAGTAACAAATATTTTTCAATCTCCATGTTTTCCTTATTACTGCAGAGCTCATTTCTTTCCATTTTTACTTCACTTTAAATTGAAGAATGTTCTTAGTGGTAGCCTTATGTTGTTCTAGGGAATGTTGAAGAACCAAAAATATACACGCACTTTTATGATATATACACATAAAATAAAGAAAGTCCTTCTAGTTGAGAGAAATAATGCAGAGATGATATTTCAGTTCCAGAACTCTGAGAAGAATCCTCGAGCTGTGAGAAAACTACGCATTTTTCTTTGCAGATTAACCAATCAGATATTCTAAGTGTTACACTTCAGCACTGAAAGCTAAAAAGAATAAAGATAGTTTCACATATAAGTTGGGTATGTTATTTTAGCTGTATCTTTTATAATTTTTGAGTCTTACCCTTGGGAGCTCTCCAAGAGAAAAATCCTTTTTTATTCATATACACTACATAGGTATATGACTATGTAGAATTATGAAATTGTGAGATCCTTTCCAATGTGAAAATCATCTGAATTGTACTCTGTTCTTATAAGCATAGTAGAAGGCATTCTGCATGTAAAATTATTTTCTTTTGTAGACTTGTATGTACATGTGCACAATATAGACATGCTCCCAGCATTTATCATCAATAAGTTTAAACATGAATGTTAATTGTATTTCTAAATAGAAGGATACACTATCTCAGATAACACAGTTAAAAGATGTTTTTGTTTTGTTTTGTTTTGTTTTGTTTTTGTTTTTTAATCTTGCTACTTTCAAAGTCTAACTAGTGACTACTTTCTAAATCTGTTATTTGAAAAATCCTTGTAAGAATAAGTCAAGTGCAGCAAAAATGTCTGAAATTAAGGTTTTGGCAACTGTTACTCCTCAACTTTCAACAGTGTATGGAAAACTTCACAAATATGAAATGCATTTTATCCAAACATTTTTTAGTAAAACTTTATAAGTGTTCTGGATTTTCTTTACCCTCTTCACTGATTTCTAAGGAGTATCTGCATAAAATGAAACAAATCTGTGTATTCTCTTGCTTGAGCTATTTTCTAGTGCTGCATTGGCTCTGTTTCATTATGAGCTGTTGATACTGCAAAATCTGGATTGTGGTGTGCAAAAAAAATCAGTTAAAGAAGCTAAATGATTCAAATATCCCAATACTCAGCAAACTGGAAGAAAGTAAGAAACCTGTTTAAAATAACTTACTGAAGTTTCAGAAAGTTGTTACTTGTTAAAGTTGCCTGAGCTTCCTTTATATTTTTTTCTAGATCTATTATTGAAAAGAATTCATAATATCTTCACTCTAAGAATTATTTTAATATATTTTGGAAGTTTATCAGCTTTGATCTGGCTATAAAAGACATATTTTCTAAAAAGAGTGATTGTTGTTCTTAGTTATCTTTTGCTAGGAATACATTCTTAAAGTGAATGGGAAGGTATGCTTTTTACATCATCAGGAGGTGCACGGTATTGAGGAAAGTGGCCCTAAAAAAGTGTGGTTTTCCCCTGGGAGATTCTACTTGCTAGTATCATAATATCCCACATGTTAAAATGTAGGTAAAATGAAAATAAATCCATGTAACCATCTTTGTTTGGACATTTGGATTAAATGCTGCTACAATATGGGCAGAATTGCCATCTAGATGATTTGTTTTCAGAAAAAAAAAATATAGAGAGATGTATATATATGTATGTGAGTTTACATGTTTCATAAAATTTGAAGACTGTCAGCATGTCTATGACGTAAACATCAGGAAGGAAAACTGATACATTCATCTAAACAAAATGAAACAAAACTGTCATTAATTTGAAAGAAAATAGGTAAATAAATTTTGTTTTAGAGATGACATCAAGTCACAGTGAACAACAAAAGCAGTGATGACCCGTGTTGCCATAGTATGTTAAATGATAAATGTTATCTGATCATTAGTATGAAGAGCATGAAGATGACTTCAGTGTCAGTTGTCTGGAGGAACTAGAGATTGAGAAGTGAAGCCAAGGCCATTGTACATTACAGATGGCATTTCATGACAAGGAAGAAGACAATGTACAGGCTAGTTAAAAATATAACCCCTGTTATAACTATGACACATGTACTATTTAGCTATAGTACATGCATTTAATAGTTGATTTCTAGGAACTGAAACATATGCATGATTTTTTTTTTTTTAAGCTTTCCAAAGTGATTATGGATATACGTGAAAGTAAAATAATGCAGTATTTTAGATTACCTTGAATTACAGTATAACAGTGACACTGTGTAAATCTATTCTTTTTGGCCTAGTGAGAAGAAATGTAAGAGTTCAAGCTTGGCAAAATTAACTGATAGCTGACTTCATTCTTTTTGATTTTATTATAAGGCAAGGTTTGCCAAGATAAAATATACTCAAAACTGTACTGCATATAGCTTGAAGAGATAAATTTAATCCATTCTTTTTTTCTTTCTTTCTTTATTTTTTTATTTTTTTTATTGAACACAATACTTGGAGAATAACTTTTGTCTGGTGGGAATACATGGACACAACTGCTGAGACAGAGCAGGGATGCAGTTATCTCAGTTAGTAGTAGTACTGTAATCCTATACAATGCTACAGCAATATGTAATCTAACAAAACCCATATAGAGCATCAGTGATATATGAGCTGCATAGACATTTATTTAACATAAACACTGTACTCTTCAGCTTTTGCAGAAAATAACTGTGCACAAATTTGATAGTGAATAAATAAAAGTGGAGCTAAGGGAGAAGTAGGTAAAAGAGGCTGTTCCTTTAGAACTGCAACATATGTCTACTAGAACTGTCCTTGCAGTGGCTTTGTTAATGCTTCTTAGTTATAAAGTTATTATTAAACATCCAGGTCAAAAGAATGAAATACTTCTACTATCTAGGATAAAATATGACCACTCAAAAAAAAATAATATATCAGCTCAACAGATTTTTCATGTGTATGTTTTCATAGGTTATTTGTACCATAATGCAAAGCTTTAAGCCTGCCTTGTGAGTGTACTGGTAATACGAAATTTCCATTAGCCTTTAAAGCTTGCCATTTCTGGGATAAATCATTTGCTTTTGTTTACTTTCTTCATGATTTATGCTGCAACTTAATTATAATTATTATGATATCTAGAATGACAGAACACAATGTGGGTCTACAAATATTTACATTGAAAGTGGTCATGAGGTTTCAGTTAGTCTGGACCAGCTCCTAAACTAGGAAAATACTCCAAGGAAAATTCAGTCTAGATTAAGAATTATTATTATTATTTTTTTTTCTCTCTGCTCTTTTACTTATAACCAAATCATATGTAGCTTTGGAATGTGAGTGAACAAAAAATTCTTTAGGATCCTTTTTAGTATCTTGGTAATGGGGATGTTGTATTGCTAACCTTCCAACTAGAAGTTCATAGAATTCCATTAGAAATGCTGTCACTTTGTGTAAGTGTTCTCTTTTGCTACAAAGCACTATTTGACATAGTTAGAATCAGAAGTAGACAGAACTGTACTAAAGAGTAACCCAAGTGGATTGTCACAAGTAGCAACAGAGGAGTCATCAAAGACTAATCAGTTCCAACCTGAACAACAATGAGGATTTTCAGGGAACATACTATTGCAAGGATGTAATTTGGCTGACTTAAGTACTCCTATGAATAATATGATATATTGCCATTATGTAAAATGTATGTTCTTCTTTCTCCTACTCACTTTTATATACAGTTATCTAACCAGATTAAAGAGATTATTTTTTTCTACTTTAGAGCAGGGGGATAAAGCAATACAAAGAATAAGCAGTAATCTCACAGGTAGTAATCAGTCTCATGGTTATCCCTGTGTGACTAGAGAGCCACCAACTGAGTCTTACAGGCTAGAGAGTTGATAGACCAACACAGTTTTCCTTCCTGCATCAGAAATAAAGCAAGTAATAAAATTTCAAATAGATCACTTTGTGCTATCTATCACTTGTGCTGCTTGACACAGTTGGTGGAACTAAGGATGATACAGCAAAGCAAAAAGCTTTTTGTGGCAAGCATAAAGCCATGAGCACCACACATCAGAGTCAGAGACTTTATTCCACACTGCAGCCAAGGTACAGAAATGATCACAGGTATCCTTAGCTGGTGATTGGAAGGGGAATTTTTTGATACCTTGGTTGGAAATGACATTGGAATGTGACTAAGTCTTTCCCACTTTCCTTACAAGAAAAAGGGTTGGAGTGACAGTTCTCTGCACTGCAGTGGAAATGAAAAACGTAAAACAGTCAAAACATAAACAGGATTGTTGTATAAAACAAACAAACAAACAAACAAAACAACAAACAAACAGAAAAACAGAATACCACACCACTCCCACCTTACTTCCCTACCTTCCAGCAACTGTAAGACTGTAAACTCAGATTTCTTCCTGTCTCTAAGTGGTCAGAGGAATCTGACAGGAACTATAAATTGCCTGAAGCTCAGTTGTGTGCTCAAGGAAGTTAATTTGGCTTCTGTGTGCAGTAAATGCAGAGATTAGAGCTGCTGTGGCCTTAGGGTGTGACGAAGAACAAGATAATAAGGTGGGCTGGAGCACCATCAGATGAAGGGAGATGAATCTTGATAGACTATAACAGTCCATAAGATGGAAAGTGGAAATTATGTGAATGTAATTAAATGTAAAAGAATGCCAAAGAAGTTAAAAGTATCTCAGCTTGATCTGTCTTCTGGGGTTACCTCGGTAAAAGCTATGATATCATCAGAGCTGCTTGGCTTCATGCTCTGTTCCTTGTGATTCCTTTACAAGGAAACACTGATTGTGGCCATTATGTGTGGCTGTGCCACATGTTGGTTGTCAGGCCGATGGAGTCTCTCTCAGTTCTACCCTAACTGTGCAAGCCCGCTGTGTAAGGGAAAACTGAAAATTGTGAGGGAAAACTTCTACATGCCCTGAGGCCTTGTTCTCTTGCCAGAGTGATTTAAGAAGGTTTAAGAGTAAGTAAGGAATTTAGGCTTTCATATACATTCTTAATCCTTCTTTTGGGGGTTGAGATTGCATCAATATAAGACACTGAGGGTGAATTTAACAATGTGCTACTTACACCAGCTGACACACTATGAATTTGGCCCCACATGTGATGCCTGTTTTATACTTAATCTCCATGTTATTTACTTCATTCTGGGAAACAATTTGCCACAGGAAGAGCTCCGTTTTGTGGTGCCATGTTACATGGCAACATGCTTGGTTAATTAAATTAAGCAACCTAAATAAATATTGGAAAAGTTCCATTTTGCTCCTACAAAATGATGTTAAAATCCAAATAAACTTGTAAATATAGATAATATTATAGCATTCCTATTTTGGATGCTTTCCATGGTCTTCTTATGAAACAACAGTTTTTTTGTTGTTGCTGACCAATACAAGTAAGTATGTGAGAAACAAGAACTGGAGAAACAGTATGAGTAAGATTCATGAAATAACTATAGCTGTAGGTTGTAATGATATTCTTGTCTACATGACTAGAAAGGAAACTTCCATTTATGTCTTTGGCTGAATGGATACTTGGTCACTCTGTAATTAAGTTGCTTTATATGATGGGCTTGATACCTAAATTATTCTTTCATCTTTTAAATTTAAGGTATCTGTCAGCAAAAATTTCTCCCTCTGTCTACCCCAGAAATTATCTTCATGAATTCTTCTAAACACCCAAACACTTCATGAGCTCTTCTAAATATCATAACATAAAATTATATTACAAGTGTTGTTTACTAAGTAGATTTGTAACTACTACTATTATTAAGTAAAATGAAATGAAAAACTTTCTGAAAATGATCTGTAAATATTAGTTAAAAAGAATATTACTCTGCTCAGAAGAAGAAGTAAATGTACAATTATAGAGAAATGGAAAGAAATATAATTCATTTCTGCACAGAATACAAGTATTATGTGCTTCTCAGTCATGTAGCTATTTACTTACCCCTTTCTTCCAGTATGAGCCCATGTACTCTTTGAAGATTTTTCAGTGGATCTTTGTGCTTTTTGTTTGTTACTTGTTTGTTTGTTTTTTTTTAGTGAAAACAACAGAATAACAATTTAGTTGGAGAAGTGTCATGCCATGATGCATTTCTGTGAATGAAGAACAATTGTGTAACTTAGAGGAAAGACATTGGATGCAATAATTAAATGACTGTAGTCTGGAAGTATGATTTTTAATGTAAAACAGATTTTAAAATAGCTGTCAGTTTTAAGCATTTTATCTCCAAATGAATTCAGAGATCTTGTGTGCTGTCTGAATTGTACTTATCAGATTTTTTTTAACCTTATAATTAAAGCCAATAATATGTTTGTTGTTGTTATTGTTGTTTGTTTTTTAATAAAACAAAACACTAAACATCCAATAACTGCATTGCATATTCACATTCGACATGTCAGGGACAAAATGAATGAAAGAGGCAATGTAAGAAATTTGCTGAAGTATGAAGAGCTTTTAATAAATCTGTTAAAAAAATGATGTTTGAAATTAAGTCAGTCATATTCATGTGTACCGGAGAAAGGAGCCCTTTGTACATTTCATCATTTATCTCTATAGAAAATTTTGTGTCTAATGTCTCTCTCATGTATTTGTAATGTGACTCAAGCAATGGCAATCCATGCCTTCTTTCCTCATGTCAAGAATGCTGAAATACATCTATTTTGTACCATTTGGGTTATCCAAATGCTCTGAGAGTGGGAGTAAGAAAGACCTACTAGCCATGCTTGGCTCATTCAGTGTTATTTACCTCTACTGAATCCTCTACACTGATCACTTCCAAACTGAATTCCTAAATAGAAAATAGAGAGAAGAGCTTCTTGGCAATATCATGTATAACAGTAAAGAATGGCTGGAATAGCTTTGTTCCTTAGGTCTGGACTGGTTTTGATTCATAGGTCAGAAATTCATAACATGTCTTACGTTTTAGATGCTTCGATGCATGTTTCAGTGGCTCAGAGAATCTGAATTTTGGGGCATTTCAGAGCTGTGTGTTCTTGCCCTGTGTGTGTTAGGTGAATTCAGGTCCCATTTAAAAAGCATAAGAAGCACTAAAAGCATGTGCGGAAGTAAATAAACTCACAAAAAATTCTAGTTATACTAAACAGAATAAAAATATGCTTAAGTAAAATACTTTCTGCCTGGACTTCTGTAAGTCTGATACAATGTCCTGAATCAGTAGAATTCTGTGCAGATACTCTTGGTTCCTTAGAATATACAGCAGTAGTTTAAAAGAAAATTTGTCAGCTCATAATGTTTTTAGATCTTAGTATTTTCCTGTTTCTGTAATGCATATTTATCTCTGTACAGTAGCAGATCACAACTCACTAGTATATGGTAAATGCTTTAAGTAAAAGAAAAAAAAAAAATTAAAAAAATGTTTTTTACGATCACTTTTCATGTTTGACCTTCTAAAATACATACTTAATCAGATCTAATATATATAATTTGTTCTTAGTGATTCCAAATTGCATTTTACAATCCAATAATAGAAGCCAGCCAAACTTGTCTACATAAATCCTAATGGTCTTTTATTTTCATACTACATACTAAGGAAAAAAAGATAAGGCATATTATCTTTCCACTAGAGTGTGCAGGCAAACCAAGTCAGCTCTTAACTTGTTGAAAGAACAGGTTTTTCATAAATACAGAAAATAACAGAATCAGTAAGGAGCGGGTTGCTGGAGCTGGTGAGAGGTTGTCAAAAAAATTCATATCCCCATGTTTTTATACTGAATAACCTAGAGATTTCTGTATCAGATCTTTCTATATATTTATTTTATTTTATTTTATTTTATTTATTTATTTATTTATTTTTCCTAAGGAATGTAGTGTAGACCACAGGAAATGAAAAAAATAAAATGTTTATTAAGCTGTCTCCCACAGCAACTAGATGCTTCCAAGGAAGATAAAAAATTATGGGAGGAGGAGAAGAAAGGTAATACTTTTCTGTCCTCAGGCAAAGTACAATAACAATGAAAGGAATCCCTCTTAAGCTATTCCTGATGCAGTGAAGTGATGCAGTACTACCAAAAACTGAATCTAGGAGCTCATCTTGCAGTAGGTGTCTTCTAGCTAAATTTCACATGCAACCAAGCACATTGGTGGCGACACGCATTCAAGCACAAATGTCAGGGACACACTATGCGTCTGGACACAACCCAGTGTCCAGTTTTCTCTGTGATAGGATAGGCTATTTCTGGGTACAAGTAGGATCTCCACTTCTTTCTATTACGTGATGGTCTCCGATCTGTTTGAAGGTCAAGCAGGACACTGTGAAATACTTCAGACAGCTTTTCTACCTAGAAAGAATGTGTTAGAGCTACAATGAATGGCAAAGTCACACAGACGGACTGGGAATCAACAATTTGCATGTAATTGCTGAACTGAACATTACAGTTTGTACACCTACAGATTTTCAGTCTGGGTATATGGAAAGAGGAAACAGAGAAGTTGACAGAGAGTAGCCACATTTAGAATGTGCTACTTTAAGCATGCCATTGCTTGATAAGAAGTTGCTGGGGAGAGACAAAGGAAGAGAAACTGCCTAGCCTGAAATGCTTGTTTAGGAATGACAGAGATTAGGTCAAGCAAGGCTTTGCCTCAGGGCTTGTATGTTTTTTCCAAGAGCCCTCTGACTCATTTCTTCTTTTTTAAGAGCAAAGTTACTATGGCTAAGAAGTTATTTGGCTAAGGTTATATTTGTTACTTTCTTGCCAAATTATGCTTGAAGATGTGAAGCCAGAAGCCAGAGTTTCTAAAGCTGGATGGAAATCAGATGAAAATGTCTGAGGCACTAGAAGACCTGAGAAACCTAAGGCCCAGGTCTGAGCCCTCTAGAGTCCTGTGTCTCATGGAAAAGAGTAAACAGTACTGGTCTGTATACACCTTGCACACCTTACTCCATTGGAGTATTAGATGAAGCAGTTGGGTATACTTAGGGAACACTGACATCTCTACTCAAAAAAGTAGTAGGATTGCTACTAAAAGAATGTGGTAGGCTACTACACTTTCTTTTTTACTGAAAGAAAGAGGTATTCTTTGTCTTGGCTGAAGAAAGCCTTAGTACAACCGCTTCTCCCAACATTACACAAAAGGAAGTGTTGTAACTGTGCTACACCCTGTTTCAGTTATTTTCCACCTTCCTACAATGCAGTAGGAGGCCCAGGAAGCACAAACACAAGACAATGTGATCTTTGGAAACATGGCTTTTGCAGCTACATCTGTACATATGATTTTAGCAGAATCATTCCCCTTTCTGGAGGTCTAGTTGAAAAGCACCACATAGTTTGTTTCCTTATGCAGCAGATCTGCACTGCAGCACCCTGTGCTTTGACAAAATCAGAATTGATAGTTATGAGTTTTGAAAAGGCTCAGAGTCTTTTAGCCCCACCTAGAAGGAGCAGAGCAGCATCCTTCAAAAGCAGCATACAGCCTGCCAGGGACCTTGCCACCTCTGTCTCTTCACCAGAAGAAGTGGCATTTACTTGGGTCCAAGTCAGGGATTCAAACTCAGGTCCTGAAACCTGCTATGTATACTGATTCGTCACATCTCAATTGGTAACCATTCCACACCAGCAATCCCACAACATGTTCTTCCAGCCATTGGCCTACACGACTTAGTCATTTGTAATTGCTGAATTCCTCACATAAATATTAATAAACTGGCTTGTTTCAAGACATCAAAGTGATATGTGATTCGCTAAATCATTTTCCTATGAAGTACTCTATAAATGATGCATTAATTCTGTCAGGATGCAGGCCTTTTGCATGGCTCATTAAGTCTGACAGTTCCTTACTTTTTTGATCTTTTGCATAGGAAGGGAAATAAAAGCCATTTTTATCTCCTCAAGAGCGTCCCCTACCACCTGCCTTGGAAAAGAACAAACAACATTTTCCATTTGACGGGGACTTTTTTCCCTATCATCTGAAAAGTTCTCACATTGGAGAGTTTAAGTATGTTCATAAATGTATAGGCTTTGGCATTGCTCTTTCTCTAAAATAAATTGCACTCTTGGCTATATCAACTCTCTGTGGGCCTGATCAGCCCTTAAAATAATCCCGAACAGGTAGCTGTGATTCCTTCCAAAAGAGAACATTGTGATTTATGTATCACTTTCCAGCCTGATACATTTTTCAGAGCAGATTAGGACCTAAACCACCTGATTAGAACTGCATTTTGCACACTTGACAGGAAGAGCAAACACTAGTAAGAGGATATGAATGAGTCCACTTATTTACTTTTGCACAATAGATCAGACATAAATGTTGTTGTACGGCAACTATTGAAAGGTCATTTGCATCGTATTTTAAATTACTTTCACTTTAAATTTGGCCAGATGCATTTTCCACGTAGAACATGCTGTGTTCTACTGTTCTCTAGCTACAGTGCTGATATTTTTCAGCACTGCACTCTGATAAGTGCTTAGCAGTGCTCCAAATGGTAGCAGCCAAAAGCTGCACTTTTAGTTACATCTGGTCAGGCTGAGGCCAGTCAAGCGAAGGGCTCCTGCACTGATGATGGGGCAGATGCAGGTGTCAGGAGGGCAACATCTCAGAACACTTCCCCAGTGGGCTGGTTGGATTTCTTATGATTTTCTCCACATTGTCTTATCAACCCAACTTTGCAGTGACAGACCATATAACAAGGCTGGAAAATGACTGTAAGTTTTATAAGCATCTCTCTGTTATATGGGTGCATGGCAGGTTGAGAATCACTCTGAGGGTTCCCTTTCAATAGCACAGACCTGTGTTGGTATGCTTGGCTCTGGTGAATGAGGGCTATGTAGACTGCATGCTACAATGCCATAACTAGCACCTCAAGGATGATGTAGGGAGATAGGTCAAATGTCACATTATAGACTGCAAAAAAATTGTAAAAGGAAGCTTGTGACACAATGTGAGTTTCAAAAAAGCCACAGGAAAGGAAAATTTTTGAAAGTAGCTTGCAAATGACCAGGTAATGAACATAAACAACTATGCTTACAGTAATTAAATAGAGTCAATACTGGATCTGAATTTTCAAAATATTATATACACTAATCATAGTATACCATTTTTGTAGTATGATCATTGTAAATAATATATTAAGGAGGTA